AGGTTGGCCGGCAGATGGCGAAGAACGAGCGTGCGGCTAACGCATCCGTGCTAAGCGGCTGTTAGCATATTAGCCAAGCACAAGCGTGAAAGGAGCATGATGGGAATGTGGCCATCATTTATGAGACACGCAAACCGAACATTGTTGAGATTTTTGGAACATTAGAGGAGATTCTGAATCATTCTGGAACCATTCTAGAACACTCGGGGGGCATTTTTGGAGTTGTTTGAGGACATGGTGAGTTGCAGAGTCTTTCGGGCCATTGTAGAACATCGTGCACAAACAAAACTTCTGGAATCTGGTGGCGCATTTTGAACCATTTCTGAACATTTTCTGCATTTGTGACATTGTGGGCATTATGTATGGATACATTTTTGTTGTATTAATTTTATCCGTGTGGAGTATTTTTTTCTTCATTTCAATTATGAATGACCAGGCCTATTTTCGACACACACACACACACACACACACACACACACACACACACACACACACACACACACACACACACACACACACAAAAGCTCTTGAGTGCAGGGGATACGTGCATGTGGCGCATGCAGCGGACACAAAGAGTCGGTCCCTGACCAGGGTAGATCCGGAAGAAACCGGCAGAGCTGCCGAAGTACTGCCAGGTCAGCGTGGGGTCCTTGAGGAAGTTGCCCACAAAGACGTCGTTGAGGGCCTCCGAGTTGTAGACGGCGTTGAGGATGTTTGGGTCTGCCGGCCGGCCGGACAAACGTGAGAAAAAAGCAGCGAGGGCGAGGATTTCTCAGCGAGCCGCGGGAAGCAGACCTTTGTTGTAGACGTTGGTGGGCACCTGGACGGTGCTCTGCTGGGTGTTGACGGCCAACTTGTTGAAGTGCTCGTTCTCCTCCAGCGGGAACTCGCCGCCCAGCTCCACGGAGTTGCCGTCCTCGTCCACCGTGTTGATCAGCATCGAGTTGTAGTAGTCAAACTGAGAGACGGGCAAATTGGCGAAACGGTTCAATCTCGACTTCAGACGACGGAGGCCTGCTTTACTGCCCCCTCTCCAGTCTCTCGCCCCCTAGGCTTCAGCACGTCCGCGCCCCCCGTTGGGATCAAGCATTTTTAGATAATGGGTGGTTGGACGCATATATAAGCACACACGCACCTCTAAGGAAGCGTTGAAATCATGGTAGAGGTCAGCATCTTCCGCCGACTCGGCAAGCCTCTGAAAGGCAAAAAGCATCAAGATTACAAAATAAAAAACCTTTGGTTTATTTTGGTGCCTGCTCAATTGTAACCGTTGACAAGAAATGGAATCGACTCCGCAGCCGTAGATGAACAGAATTCCTTTGACACCTTTGCAATTTGCAAACATCATTTTTCTTACTTGCGTGACCCACTTTTGGATCAGCCAATACAAAAATGAGCCCACTCGGCTGTTTTGAATGTATGCCGTCATTGACTGAGTGCTGTGTATGAAATATAAAAAAAAAGCACCTTGACAGACTTCATTTTGCTGCCCAGCATGCGTTCAATCTGGTCCGCGTAATCCTTGACCAGATCGCTTCCGTCCACCTCAACCACCTTGATGATGGACTCCACGTCCTTTAGTTTCTGATCACCCACACAAACACACACACACACACACACACGCACATGCACACACACACACAATCTCTGAAATCTGACAATCTGAAATCCCACATTTTCCATCTTGGTATGTTCGGCGACTCTCACTGGCTGAGCTTTATTTTTAAATCTATTCTTGGATTTCTGTCGACAAAGTTTGGGATTATATCACATTTCACAAAACAAACGTAAGTGCAATGTGTCGACAGCAAAGCAGAAACACCCAAGTCGCTGTATTTTGTACGGGCAGTAAGTTCAGAGTGTTTTGGCCACCTGAGCCGCAGGGTGGCTAACAACCGACGCCAGCTAGCCGAGACCGGCTGAGATGCGCTTGCTAGCACGGAGCTAAACAAAGCGCGCTAACCCGCTTTAGTGAGGCTATTTGTGTCATGAGGGATTCGTGTCACTTTATTTGGAGCTCGGTGATCTTAGCCACCCAAATCTGATCTGGAGTCAGCCAAGTCACATGACCTTGAGTCATCGGGTCACTTTCTCACCGTTCGCCGCACCAAAGTGGCATGGGGGCCATTACAGGTCAACAACAACAACAACAAAAGGGAGCTCAAGTTGTACCTTTTGGAGAAGAAGCGATCCTGAATACTTGGTGGAAAGCTCTCGAAGCTGTGACGAGAAAATGGACGCCCACTCCTGCACACTGTAACACAACAACTCAACATATAATGCGCTGTAAAATATATTACGCAACAAACATGTCATTTATCATTTCACGGACAGCAAAGAACACAGTACAACACAACATGGCGCGAAATAACTGCAGGTGCCCTCTCAGCTTCTCTCGCAAGCTCAACTTTTCACATGAACCATCAATAGAACAAAAAAATGACGACTCAGCGCAAGTCACAATATTCGCATAGGTGCTTCGAGTTTGCACGTTAGGGTGTTAGCGTGACCGCACCGTGAAAATGGGCCACTCGGAAAGGTGCCGCCCGCGGCGGCAGCTACCGGCTGGCACGCGTCCAGCGGCCATGTTGGCCCGCAGATGGCGAAGAACGAGCGTGCGGCTAACGCATCCGTGCTAAGCGGCTGTTAGCATATTAGCCAAGCACAAGCGTGAAAGGAGCATGATGGGAATGTGGCCATCATTTATGAGACACGCAAACCGAACATTGTTGAGATTTTTGGAACATCCGAGGAGATTCTGAATCATTCTGGAACCGTTCTAGAACACTCGGGGGCATTTTTGGAGTTGTTTGAGGACATTGTGAGTTGCAGAGTCTTTCGGGCCATTGTAGAACATCGTGCACAAACAAAACTTCTGGAATCTGGTGGCGTATTTTGAACCATTTCTGAACATTTTCTGCATTTTTGACATTGTGGGCATTATAGAACACCGTGGGACATTTTATAATCCTCCGCAACATTCTGTGATCATTCGAGAACACGATCTAACATTCTGGAAGCATTTTAGAACGTGGGGGGGGGCATTGTGAAATATATGTCAGCAGCCAAAATTGCAAGCGAGCCCAGAGCTCAGGACTGTGGTTGGTCAGCGCGCTAACGCAGATTAACCAGATTAGCAGGTTGAGTGGAGAAAATGGCAGACGGACAAGAGGCGGCTAAATATGTGGGACAGTTGGAGGCTGCCAAAACGCCTTGGCCATTGGCGGAACGGGCCGTCAAGTGGCGGATTCTCGTTGCCTCCAGCCCATGAAACGCAGACACAGGCGTGAGTGGACGTCGACTCCGGACGGAAGCTCCTTGTTAGCTCCTTGTTAGCGGTGTGACATTTTGGCCACGAGGAATTGCTCCATCAGCGTTATGATGATGATTGTGTCTTCATTTGAACAGAGATTCTTCATTTATGATTAATGCCATCATCATAGAGGCACTTTGACTGACAACGAAATGTTCGCTAAATGATGGACCTTCGGCTGAGGTCTCACAAGGACCCACAAAGATCCGGCCGGACCACAACCAGTTTGATCTCGTTTCTTTCATTCACAGCTGAAAGTCCAACACCTCGATCAGAACAAGTTTACACCTGTTTCACTGACTTATATGGGGTCAGGTTAAGACGTCAAACATTCACAGTAGAAACTTAAGGTCGAGATCAGTCCGAGTTTGAACCGGTCTCATACATTCCCAGTCAATGCATGAATCTCGAGATCAGAACCACTTTCAACGGGCTTCATTCGTTCTCAGTAGAAATGTGATCCTCCAGATCAGATCCAATTTAAACAGGTTTCACTCAGTCATGATAGAAGCACGAAGATCCGGATCAGCACAGGTTCAAACCGGTTGCATTCCAAGTCAAAGCACGAAGGAATATCTCGATCCGAACCACATAGCAGCCGTTTTACTCGTTCACAGCAGAAACGTTAGGACCCAGATCAGAAACAGTTTGAACCTAGTTCCCTCAGTCGGAGCCAAAGCCTGGATATCTGGATCAGAACAGGTTTCATTCATTCATAGCGAAACCATGACGATCCAGATCAGAGCCACCGTTGAGTCATCCATTGAATCGCAGTGGAAACGGTAAAACTGGCATCAAAACCAATTCAAACCTTGTTCAGTCACAGTGGCTTTAAAACCAGGATTAGGATTTCAATCCTCCGCAGTGGAAAGGAAGGATCTAGACTGCAACCATTTTTTTTCATTTATTGACTGCACAATCAGGGCGTCATCGCTTACAGCAGGAATGAGGGTTCAAGTCAGAACCACTAGGAACCTGTTCTTGTCAACTCTTCGAGTACAACCACAGAGCTCTAGCTCGGAGCCAGTTTAAAACATCTGGACCACACCCAGTTTGAACCTGTTTTTGTTCTTTCGCTGCACCAACTTGAGACTTCAATTTCACAATATACGTTTGTTTTTCTGCTTGATTAAAAATAGTCATCAGATTCACAGTAGGTTTGGAGTCAAGATTTGGATTTCATTCATCCACAGTAGAAACATAAAGATCTAGATCTGAACCAGATCCCTTTCCAGGATGGCTAAGGTCAGGATGAGGATTTCATCCACAGTATAAACACAAAGATCTCAACCGGTGGGAACCTGTTTCATTCAGCCACAGTAGAAACATAAGAGCCAGCTTCAAACATGAAGATCGAGTTCAGAACGGATTGGAACCAGCTTCATTCGTTCACATTGGGAAAGTTAAGAATCCTACTGTAGATCACAACCAATTTTGTTCTCATTCAGTCATTCCTTCAGTCATACACTGACAATATGATTTGGGTTTCCTTTATACACAACAGAAACAGGACGCTCCCGATCCGAACCAGTTTGAAGCTATTTCCTTCATCCGCAGTTGGGTTTAGGATAGGGTAGAAGACAAACAATGCTCACGTCTCTGGCGGTATCTTCAGCTGAGCTTGAACGCCGATCCACAGCAGGAAGAATCCCGCAACCCGCTGCAGTTTGGAGCCGCTCTTCATCCTGCTTCCTGACTCACTTGGGGAAGACCACGTGGCTTTCGTCGGGAGGACTCGAAGAGGACGGACGACGCCTCCTCACGAGGGCTCCGGCTTGTTTCTCCTCATCAAGTTTTTGCTTCTTCAGGGTTCTCATCAAGGCTCATCGCCATCCTCCTCGAGGCCCGCAACCCTCGTCCCCGCGTGGCTGCTCCTCCTTCTGCTGCTGTTGCTGTTGAGCAACGTCCAACTGGGTCTGATAGTTGCTTCGAAAGCCGCTGCGTCCCGGATACCTGCTGACCCAGTTGTCGGTTAATGTTTGGGAACTGTTCGTAGCCCGAAGGCACACCCAACACCGATTGGAGGTCGTTCCCTGCTGCTTCTTCTTCCGGGTTCTTCCAGGTTCTACCTCACGACATCAGCCGGCGGCCCAGCCAGCGACAGGGCGGTGTCCTGCTAGAGGTTTTGCAGCAGCTCGCCCAATTTGCCACATAATCCATTTGGATTAAAAAGCCCCCCTCCACGGTGGGAAAGCGGCGAGGGGCAGGCAGGACGAGACGGGACGGCGGCGCCTCATTGGACAGACGCTCCCTTTCATGTAAGAGGATTACACACGCACGCATGCACGCACACACCTGCGTATGTAACGGCTGTTAATTTGTTAGATGTCCCCACACACACACCCACACACACACACACACACACACACACACACACACACACACACACACACACACACACACACACACACATCAGAATATACATGCACACACACTTTTGTGTTTAGATGTGCAAACATCTTAACGCAAATGGAAATACAAAACCACATTTTTTTTTTGTTGTCGTTGCTGTCCACGCAGGTATCTTTCCCGTTTTGAAGTTGGAGAACTTTCTCAAACCAAATGCATCCACACAGCAGGGGTGCATGTCAAAGAAACTTGTCATTTCTGGACCAAGAGCGGCCCCCAGGGATGAACGTGGCAACTGCGGCCACGACATTTCTGTCAGAATGACAATGAAATGAAATATATTTGAATGTCGCTGCCTTGAGTGGTTTAGGCTCTATTTCACCGTTTGTGTTAGCCTCGGTTGTGCTGAGTCACGCGTGGTGTTCCACAGGGCTCATTCTCACTGTATTTGCTCCCTTTGGATTCCATCTTGAGGACACATGGTATTTCCTTCCACTGCTATGCAGATGCCTGTCAGATTGATGTCCCGCTGAGCAAAAAAGATGCTTTTCCATTGAAGTCACTTTAATATTTATTTATGTTTTTGTGCTTTCTACTGTCACTGTTCTTAATTCATTTGTTTTATTTGTTGTTGTATGAATTATTTTTGCTCGATTTACAAGATCATCTGTGATATGCTAGTTTAGCCTCTGAGAAAAATTATTTGTGAACGATTAGTTATGTCTACTAAAAAAACGGAAGCGGGAACTGCCGGCGTCGACACAATGCTTCAATCTCGCTTGAACTACTGGACAAGAAACTTCCTTGTCCGATTGGTCGTTGATCTCTCTCTTATCCAGGTATGAAAATGAGTGTTTTGGTGTCGAAGCATGAAGAAATTTGTCAGTAGAAAGTTCGTTTTGAATGCTTCGGAGGCTGTAAATTCGTGCCTAAAGCCCAATTCACTCGCCAGTTTAAACGCGGCCATTACGGGGGCTCACGAGTCGGTAAAAAGGGTCACGTGACACGTGATGCGTCGTCCACATGCTTGTAGATTGAGGCTGCCGATGGACGTCGTCCAAGTTGTTATTTTGGGTTAACACTCTTTATGATCGCTATAACAGACTTTTGAAATATGTTTGAATATTAAATACAATACAAACAAATAAAGGTTATCTTATCTTATATTGCTCTTGTCTATTGGAAGCGTGTTTCAACGTACGGCGTTGAAGCTTTGGGTTACTATTTTCGAAGTTAGTCCTGAAAGTAGGGACCATGTTAACAGAAAAAATATCGTTTTTTGCATTATTTTTGTATGTTTGGTACCGGAGGGATCAGTTAATGTACGGACAGAAGTGCATTAAAAGGATGAGGACGGACGGAGACGGAGGACAATTATTTTATGAATAAGGACGGAGGCTCGATGACGGAGGGGTGCCCAGGTGGCGGACTGAGGACGGACCGATAAAATAGAGTCAAGTGCCCATCTCTGGCAATAAGACACAAAACATCCTCTTTTGAATGCAGAGAGAGTCCTTTCTTTATTAGTTAATTGCTCTTTGACGTTGCCCATTACAAGTGGGCATAGGGGCGGGAAAAAAAAATCCACCACCAACCCAAACCAGAAAATCAAAGACACCGTTAAAGTTGGATCTCGTCTCATTGATGAGTGCAGAAGGTTCGGCCGCCGAAGCTCACCAATGGTGCAGCAAATCTCGGATGCAAACATACGAGAGCTCCATCGTGCAGGCCAAGTCCGCCCAACATCCGTCTGGAAGATTTTTTTTCCATATTGAAAAACGACAGCCGGCGACCCGTCCCCCAGCCAATTTGAAAGACGTGTGTTTCACTCACCGCTTTCATTCATCTGGGTGCAGTCGCCACTGGTATCGGGCTCTGTGCCATTAAAAGCTCTGAAATCCTCCAAAGTGCCGTCGGTCCAAATGAAGTCGCCGTCTTGCTGAAAAAGAGCACATTGAATTTTTTTTGTTCAATAAATATTTTTTGTTAAATAAAAATGAAGAAATTGTCGATTTGCCTCACAACTCAGAACGACCTCTCTCCCTCCCTCAAAATATTTTTCTCTGTGATGCCCGCACATGAATGAATTTTTGCCGAAGAGGATATTTTGCCGTTCCTTTCACTGCAAGTGACCGTAAAACAGTTCAAGTTAAGTGTCATTTCAGGCGTTGGTGAAGCGCTGCCCTCCATTTGAGAAAATACAACAGATGCTTCAATCGCCATGATGGGATTTTGTGGACGGGTGGGAGTGGGATTGGATGGGGAATCCTTGAACATTCCTTGATTCTTGGTCCTTGGATGATTTTGACCTTTAGAATTGTTTTTGATGATGGGCTAAAAACGGAGTCACAACTGGTTAGCACGTCCGCCTTGCAGTTCCGAGGCTGCGGGTTTGAATCTGGGCTCCGGCCTTCCTGTGTGGACTTTGCATGTTCTCCCCATTTTCTCTCGGTACTCTGGTTTCACCCCCACGTTTGAAAAACATGCATGCCATGCCGACTGCAGACTCAGAATTGGCCGTAGGTGTCAGTGCAAATGGTTGTGTGTGTGTGTGTGTATTTGTGCCAAGCACTTGGTTGGTGAGCAGTTCAGGGTGTCCCCCACCTCTTGCCCAAAGGATAGGCCCAGGCACGCCTCCCACCCCAATGAGGATAAGCGCTACAGAAAACGGATGCCCGTCTCTTTTCGGTTCGCGACAAGATCGACTCTGAAGGAGGAATTCTGCTTCTTTGTGTCATTAAAAAAACATACAAAAAAAAAAAACCCAAAACACTTGTCACGATTCAACGAGAACCCGCGTACTGGTCACCGACTCACATTAATGGCATCATGGAGACCAATCCATGCATCAACTGGGTCTTCAATGGCTAGGATCAGTTCGTGAACGAAAGAATTTTCCAGGGCACTGTGGATGGACACCAGATTCCCACCCAGAATGTTGCAGACGCTCTGTAGGAGAAAAAGAAGATGCACTTGACTACCGGAGAAGATGTTTTGTCGTCGGACTTATGTTTTGGTCTTGGCTCCTTGGAGTTAGATCCCAAATGCGGAGCCGCGGGGAGGCAAAGAGCGGCAAAAAGAATCTTTTCTCAAAAGAAAGCAAACGAGACATGTGGAAGAATCCAAAACACTAACGTTCAACACAAATAGAAGATGCAACAAAAGAAATGCAAGAAACAAACACGATGAACCTACAAGGACTGAAAGCAAGCGGGGGAACGACATACAAGCCACCACCTGAACAAGACACGAGTGCGTGGAGGGAGCCGACTCCAACGCGGCAAACGTGAAAAAGGCGCACAAGGCAACAAGAGATAACGGGAGGAAAAAAAAAAGAAATGTCATTCAAACAAAGAAAAACTCATGATGATGACACTCCAGTGAGCAGCACCCAGCGGAGGTCCGGCCTCGCCCACCTCGGCATCCGCGAAGCTCCTCGCGTCTTCTTGGAGGATGTAGCAGTGGCAGTCCAGGCGAGTCCAGCCCTTGGGGCAGCCGTTGTCTGCGACACAAAAGCAATTCCTTTTGTCCTCAAATGAAATTGTCGGATTGAAGACGTGCAATTGAGATGCCAACCTTTTTCATGAATGTCAACCTTACACCACTGGGAAGAAGAAGAAGAAGAAGAAGAAAATGAGACGGCAGAAAATGAATCCGCCTTTGCGGACCCCCGCAGCCGAGTCGGGGACTTACGGCTCCAATCGCGAGTAGGCCGAGCCCGCAAAGGAGGAACGATGAGCGAAGTGCCAACGCCATCTGCGCCACGGAAGCAAAATAAAAAATAAAAAAAAAGACTTGACTCGTTTCGGCTCTGGAGGCGATTGAAAAGTACGGCCGACGTCGAATTATTTCGGCGGTCGTGACGCTTGATGCCGACGATGACGACTTGCGCTTTTATACACCGCTGCGACACTTTTGGAATGTTGTCGACCATGTCGGTGTCACAGCATGTAAAGAGAGATGCGCTTATAGGACAACATAAGCGCCGAGCATGTTGAGAATGCGCCGTTTTGACTGTCGCGCCCAAAGCCTCCCATCGCATCCTCGTATATCTTGTGCCCCCCGGCAAACTGCCAAATGACTCGCGGCCTAACGCCGCTCCTGAGAAGGCCGCATTTTGTCTAGCCGCCCGTCATTGGTCCTCATTAACCAGAGCTGGAGCGGTCTCTCCCTGACTTTGGGCCGGAGAAGCGGGCTACACCCTGGACTGGTCACCGGCCAGTGGCAGGACTGTTCCAGGACCGTTCATGTGGCGTGCGAGCACTCGGAAACTCATGCGTGTTGTGTATCTTCTGAGAGAAGCGCAATCAGTCTCGGCGGCCCTTCGGATGAGTCGCCAAGCCGTTGCTGGATGGACGTGGCAGAACTTCAGTCTTGTTGGTGGGAAAAGATTGGATTTCCCCCGAGCAGAGCTTTTGTCAATTACTGCACATCCTGAAAAAAAAAACGCGGTCCCCGCCAAATTCTGAGCTCCCATCCAGCCCATTTTAGACGTCGCCCCGCTGCAACGCACCCAAGTCGAGCGGTCGGGATCTTCACCGGGCTTCTTGCGCAGCTTGCTGATGAGCCGATCACTTGAATCAGCTGCTTTGGAGGACGGACACGTGTCAAAACAGGCTGGATCGGGTCTCCGGCGGCCCGGGCTTGGGCGCAACTACCGTCGTGTCCCCCGAGTGCCCTCTCTACACGACCCCCCCCCCCCCTCGGCACCACTCTTGCCGTTGTTCCTTCTGCATCCTGGCAACCGCAGATGTGGCCATTTGTGATTGCGCAGGTCACCGACCTGTCACCGGCAAATGTTTCCCGCGGTCTACACAAGTCCTTTCGTGTGTTCGTCAATCAGCATCCGGTCTGCACTCTTTGTTTCAACTTTTGAGTTCAGTGGATGAAACGGACCAAATGATTTAGCTCTTAATTCACTTTGTAGTTGATATTTAAAAAAAAAAAACGTAGGCAATATCGGCGTCATAAGACATTGCGGCCACGTGCGTTAAACTCCTCTTCGCCGAGGGCCTCCTCCATCGGCGGAACGCTTGCCCTCAAAGACCCCCACGCAACTTCTTACAAATGCAACAAAAAGGAATGCCAAAGAAATATAACTCATCCTTCTAGGGAACGATCGACCATTTATGACGTGACGTATTGCGTACGGCACGGGTTGGAAAAAGCGACTTGACAATTACAGACGTGCAGCATGCTTTGCAAGGTTGACAAAAGACACTCGTTAGGTTGCGACATTGTAAAATGACTCGCAGACAGGTTTGGGTCATGAAAGAAGCCTGCTCTCGGCATCTGCAACGGTTCCCACCCCCCCCTCGTGGTGGGAGGGCCAACTGTGATCGTTTTCACATGCATTCAACAATCTTTTAAAAACCGGAATATTTGCATTATTCCTGTTGCGCAACGACACTTAAACGTCCACAGAAGCCCAAGTATGCTCACGTACCCGTTTCTCAGAACCAACACCCATGTCTTCGCGTCTCTTTTAAAGGCACGATGACTGAGAAACACATCAGCGGAACTCGGCAGCACACGTTTGATGCCGAGGGGAAACCGATGACTTTGTTGGCGTGGACGGAATGGCTTTGATTGAGGGTCGAAAGCGGGTAACGACATCTCCAAGAAGGTGTGTCCTAAAAACTCGGCCGACCCCAATTTGTATCAAGAACTGATGGAAGACGTTGAGAAAGGCATTACTACGAGGTCACGTCTGTTTGTGGCAATATCCCAACGGTCGGTTGTTCCAGAAAACGGAATTTTCACACGAACTCGAATATTGGTGGCATACCAACGTAGTCAGGGACAGTCGGAGCGAGTGCGGCCTTTCGGACAGGGGTGTCCAAACTCGGTCCTCGAGGGCCGCTGTCCTGCCCGTCTTCCCGTCTCTCCCGGCCGTAACACACCTGACTCCAATCATCAGGAGGTGATCGTTTGAATCCGGCGTCTTGCGGCCGGGAGACACGGAAAACAGGCCAGACGGCGGCCCTCCAGGACCGGACACGAGTCCTTGTGCCTTTGACAATAAATCTGATTCTGATCTTGACGGATTCTTTTTCTTCCGGTCATGTCGGCCTTTTTCAGGAAGCAAAAGGTGAAGCTACCACCTTCCTCCAGCAGATGGCAGCACGGATCCAATTTGTGTGGTGAGTCGTCTGACTTGTGTATTGTTTATGGTTTAGATTGGTTGGAATCGTTTTAAAATGTCCGAAGAAGAATAAAAGTATTGTTGGGAAGCTACCACCTTCCTCCAGCAGATGGCAGCGCGGATCCATTTTGTGTGGTGAGTCAGCACGCTTGAGCCTTTAGACGTCGTCTGACTTGTGTATTGTTCATGGTTTAGATTGGTTGCAATCGTTTTAAAACGTCCGAAGAAGAAAAAATGTATTGTCGGAAAAAAAAAATACTAATAACTGTGATATTGAACTGCAACACAGTAATAATCGTGATATAAATCTAATCGTCACACAAGTATTGTGATTTGAATCGAATCGGGAGCGAAGTGAATCGGGCCACGAAGCGGTGGGCGGCTCAAGTCAGTGACAAACGGTCCACTAAGGACCGCTCTGTCAACAGCGGGCATCTGGAGGAGGGAGGGAATTGCGGGGGGTAGGGGGGTGGGGGGGTTAAAGCCTTGCCTCGCCCGCCTCACCCGTGGGTACGCGCTAACCAGCTGCCGCCCGCTCCGATGTCACGTAGCTGAGGCAGCGTCCCGAGGCCGACTGACTGTCACTGTCACGAAGCCGAAGGTGGACGCGGGTCGCGTCACCCAGTTTTCAATCAAAAGACAACATGACAGAAGGATCCAAATTCAAGTCAGGTCAACTGGAATTGTTTTCCTTTCGCTGAATAGCTGCGCGCTATTATTTAGCAATAGCCTCCAAATGGAAATATTTGAGCACCAACTCCAACCCTGATCTGCTGCTTTCAACGCTGCACATGCACGCACGCACGAACGAACACACACACACACACACACACACACACACACACACACACACACACACACACACACACACACATACACGTGCAGGGTTGACTAGCGTCGGAAAGTGTGGATGCTAGCAACACGTGTCATATATTTGATGATGTCATCATGCCAAAAGTCAAGTGCAATAACATTTCTTGAATTTCAATGAAAAGAAGACCGAAGTGCTGGCGTGTGGTCCCAGTGGTCCTTGGACACGCCATCCTGCGGGTTTGGCCCCACTTTGCTCCTTATCTTCAGCCAACAGTCTCCAACTTGGGTCTTCAACTGGACAGTGGTATGAAATTGGACCCGCAAATCGAAACCGTCGTTTAACGCGGCTTCTTTCAATCTTAAGTCAGCTGGCTCAAGTCGCGCCTCTCCTTTCTCCAGTGAGCACTTTGAAACAGTCGTGCGTGCCTTCGTCACATCTCGACCGGATGCACTTGACTTTGGAGTCGGCCAATCCTCCATGAATTATCTCCAGTTGGTCCACAATGCCGCCGCTCGCCTCTTGACGAGTACTCGTAAGAGGGAGCGCTTCACTCCTACTCTGGCATCCCTTCACCGGCTTCCCATTTTCGAGTTCTTTTGAAGATGTTCTTATTTGTTTTCAAATCTTGAAATGGCATCGCTCCACCTTACCTCTCTGAGCTCTTCCGCCCCTGAGGCACCGGCCCGCTGCCGACCAGACACAATTAGAGGTAGCGAGAACCAAGCGGAGGCTCCGAGGGCTTGGGGCCTTTTCCGTTGCCGCTCCCTCTCTTCGGATTGAACGATGGGCAAGCCCCCTCGCTGGCCTTCTTTAGAACTCGTCTTCATACTCTTTTTTTTTTTATTTACGGCTTTGGATTCCGCATGAGACTTGATTTTGAGTCTGATTGTTGTTGTGCTTTCCTCCTGTCTTGGTTATTGATTTATTGTTTGTTGCTGTATGAATTCTTTTTGCTCCGTGTACAGCACTTTGTCTCCAGCGCGGTGGTTGTTTGAAAGTGCTCGAGAAATATAGTTGGGTTAAGTTGAGTCTTGTAGCGCCTTTTGCCCCATGAGTAGTCCCGAGTTAGCATGTCCCCATGGAGACACACGCACGCACGCACGCACACACCCAAAGTGTAGAGCGTAATCCCCCTGAAGTGGAGCCTGACTTGTGTGTAACTGACACTGCAGCTGTCCACTGCTGGAAGAATTGAGAACTTGTGCGCTCAAGTTCAGCTGCGTGAGCAAATGTGTCGCAAGTGTGGGGGGGGGGAGACACCTCCGACTGAGCGCAAAAAGCTTACGAGACCGATCGACAGCGCCGATCACAACGCGACTCCACTTTGAAGGGTCAATCTCACCGCTGGAGCGACTCATCGGCCTTGGCGGTCACGGCAACCAAAATATTGTTTGGCCTCTCACCAGGACGATTTTAGGGAGACGTTTTCAGACAAGCTGAAGGCCAATTAAAGTTACTGACATTGGCCTGGATACATCATCCATATTGATTAAATATAAATAAAATACACAAAATAGTCGGTGTGTGTGTGTGTGTGTGTGTGTGTGTGTGTGTTTTCAGATACGGGGATAGAAAGTTAATGTTGCTATATGATATACTATTGGAAATTAACTTGTACACTGCCAGCTATTTTCAGACCCTTCTTTATCCTACCACGTGAAAAAAAATGAAAAGTACATTGTACGTGCAGATGTACCTGGGATTCAATGCCTGGATTCATTAGCCAGCCATTTTCAGACCCTTCTTTACCCTACCACGTGAAAAAAACTAAACGTACATACAGTGCAGATGTACCTGGGATTCAATGCCTGGATTCATTTAAAAAAAAGTGAAAAATCGTCCTTAGAATTGAATGAGTTCATTTTTACTCAGCGCCCTCTACTGTTGACAGAAGTACATTTCCAAGTGCCATTGGGCTCACATCGCAAACGTCGCGTTCACGCTTTCTGGCTAAGGTCACGTGATTTTGGCAATGCCAACCTGAGGCCACTTTGACGATTTCAGTCGTCAGCGGAGAGCGCGAAGAAAGCGCTATGCTACCATATTTGAAAACCAGTTGGCAAACCGGACAAAATCATGAAAAACAAAGTTTCCGAAGCGAATGGAACGTTTTATGCTTTGTGCCACGTGAACGTCATTTCAAAACAAACAGCGCTCCCGAAGTCTCCCGGAGTGTGGCTTCCGATCGCATGAGAAAATGAAGGCCCGACTCGCCGTCGCTGTCCGCTGAACGTCAGGAGCAAAAATCAGGGCGAGGAAGCGTTCATCCATCGCGGATCCCCCGCCGGGGGGAAGAATCCGGAATGTTCCAGAGCGG